GTGGGTTCTTAGAGATCATGTGCTCTTGGGATTAAAAACCTGAAGTCCAGGATTTAGAATTTACCCCAGGTCACGTGGTAAAAGGGGTAAAGGGGGCCTAATATGCCAGTCTGCTTTTCACACACACAAAAAATGTTTTAACCTATGCTTAGAATATTCTTGTGAGCATTGATTTGGTGCCAATATATTTAAATTCTCAGCTTCTATATTTAGAAAACCTTGCATAAATTGATTAGGTCATGTTCAAGAAAGCCTAAAGAACAAATCATGAATAAAAAATAGCCATTTCCAGAAGTTGTTCCCTTTTTTAGTGCCATTTGTTAAAGCCACAGTTATGATATATGCTCTCTGTAAAAGGTCAATTAGCAGATTCTCCAGGATATTTAAAGTTTTGTGTTACCTTTTAAATGTCAAGTTGAAGTTAGAAATGTTACTTTTGGGAGAATTTTGCCATAAAATAGTCTATATGTGGAAATAAAAAAAAAACCCAGGTCAAGGATGAGGGAGTGGTAGGAAATCTTATCTTGCCTCCAGAAGCCTGAGAGGCTATAAGGCCAGATAAGAGCTGGCCACATCAGTTCCCAAACAGTGGCCCACTTCCTGGGTTGGCAAAGAAATAGAACACTTTTTAATACTTGGCCCCTTTTTACTGAGTGACCCCTGTGAACTGGTACAGACTGGTAGAAAGAATAGTTTTTTAATGCTTTCTTAATCTGGGAAAGGCTTGACTGCACGTAAGCTGTGGGGGATGTTCTGGGAGGGGTTTGACGGTATAAAAAGAAGATAACCGGTGGAACAAGGTGTTGGTCCTGGCGAAGACCAGAGGGAGTGAGATTAAAAGCCTTGGTAGAAGGTTGATCCTTGAACACCTCTTTTTCAGAGGCTGGAGGAAAAGAAGTGAGGATAGACATGCCTATAGATATCTTTGTTTATGTCTGAGTTTAAAGTTGAGAAGGTTCACGCCTAGTCCCTTCAGTTTTCACCGTGAACTAAGACAAGGCCATCTTCTGAGAGATTTATGGAGGAATAAAGATTGGAGTTGGAGAAGAGTTGTGAGTGTTTGGGATATCAGTTGTGGGAATGAGGAAAGTCACTGAATAGGGACAGGTGAAAGTGCCCTGCCAGCAGTGAGGATCCAGCTGCTGTTGAATACTGTGAATGTGTACTTTTATCAGTGTGCCTGGTTGTGTTAATTCTCCACCAGTACAGAGCAACCTAGATGAAGGAAGAAAGAAGAAAGATGGTTGGAAAGAGTCAAACATAAAATTTTTAGGATGACTGTGTAGAAGGACCTAAGTACAAAGACTTTGAGGGTCTGGTGAGAGTACTTACAGGGATTTACCATGAAAGTTTGGCTGAAAAGGATGCAACGCCATGAAAGATCAGGAAGAAAGAAGTGTGGAAGGTTAAGGTAGAAGAGCAGTTGTCCTTTTCAGGAGTAAGGAACTGAGGGATCTTGAAGGAAAGGAGTGAAGAATCTGCATATGGGATCTGTGTATGTGTTCTAGATCGGGTATCAGCAAAATCCCTGTAAATGGCCAGATAGTAAATATCTGTGGCTTTGCAGGCCTTGTGGATTCTGTTAGTACTTCTCATCTCTGCCCTTGAAACTTGAAGGCAGTCATAGACGATAAGTAAACGAATGGGCCTGGCTGTGTTCCAGTAAAACTTTATTTTCAAAAACAGGTGGTAGTCTGGATTTGTCTCAAGGGCTATAGTTTGCTGACCCCTGTTCTAGATGATAACAATTTCCAGGATGTGGACATAGTTAAGTGGAAGTGAAGACTGTTAGAAACCAAGGGGTTAAGATTCTTTAAGGTTAGTGTATTGACTATAAACTGTCTATATCTAACATATCTAGAGGACACTCCACCACCAACAGAATATACATTCTTCTTAAGTGCTCAAGGAATATTCTCCAGGAAAGCTCATATGCCAGGCCATAAAATGAGCCTCAATAAATTTAAGAAGGGCTGAAATCATACAAAGTATGTTCTCTGATCACAATGAAGTGAAAATATAAATCACTAACAGAAAGAAATTTGAGAAATTCACAAATATGTGAAAATTAAGTAACACTTCTCAATCCAGTGGATCGAAGAAGAAATCACAAGGGAAATTAGAAAGTAGTTTGAGATGAATGAAAATGAAAACACACCATACCAAATATGGGATGCAACTAAAGCAGTGGTAAGAGGGAAATTTATAGCTATAAATGCCTACATTAAAAAAGAAGAAAGATATCAAATCAAAAACCTAAACATCTACCTTAAGACAGTGGACGTGTAAGAGAAAGAAGTGGCAGTAATCACAAGGGTCTGAAATGGCCTAAGGAGATGGAACGGAATGAAAGCCCACATAGAAAAGTTGGAAAAAAGTTGGAAAAGTTAGGTAAGAAGAACAGTTTGTCTTTGTAACTGGACCATAGGAAAGTAGGATGGTTTATATGTTTTTGCTATAGAATTATTAAGTTCCCATCTGTACCACTTTCATCTATTTTCTCTGTCAAGCTGGAGTCAACATCCTTTGCAGAGCTTAAAGAGAAATGCAGCATTGGAGATTTGAAGAATAGTCCTTGTGTAGGGTGGCTGAAATAGTCCTTGTATGGAGTTGACTAGAGAAAACCATTAAGAATTTCAGGCTGTTGAGGATCCTTTTGAGGCTGGTAGTAGTGTATTACAGGGGACTACTGATCTGCTCTGTTGTGTGATTTCTTCAGCTGCATTTGTGTATGTGGGTGAAGGCACAGGAAAGGCAAATGTTTGCATAAATATATGGCTAGGATTTTTGCTAGATGGGTGAGATGGAAAGATAAATGGGCAGGGAAATTTAGGATGTTGAAATGATGGGCCGTGGTCAATAAGCTAGATAAGGATGGAAGTAAAGAAAGGAAAAGCTACTGAACAGGGATCAACTAACCGGAGGTCACCAGGAGGTTTAATAATACAAATCAGCTCCACGAGGGCAGGGAATCTGTTTTGTTCACTAATGTGTCCCAGCCCCTGGAATAGTGCCTGGCACACAGTAAGTGTGAAATATTTGTATTTGTTGAATGAATGATCATGGCAGAATAGGGGTCATCTAATATGAAGCTGGGAGAATGGGGAGCTGTAGTCAGAGTTGCATGTTTGCATGAGTGATGGCGGAGGCGAAGCGTTATAGATCACACCTCGTGTGTCTGACACGCACATATAGCATGTTCTCAGTACCTTTTAGCTATTGTCATTATGTTTTTTGGCCTTTTATAGGAATTACTTATTTTTAAAGAAATAAAGTAGAGTCATATCTCTGCAAATGGGTGAGTTGACCTTTCCAAAATAAGTATCATTTAAAGCCATTGGAGCATTCAAGGTTGATAGATTCCACCTTGTACCGGCAGACTAAACAAACAAAATACTACTAGGAATTATCTTCCTTTCCAAATTAGCCTCATCTACTTCTCAAATCCAGAAGCTCAGAGTACTTCTATCACTTTCTATTGTTTTGTTTATTTTGCTTATCACAGTGCGTGTGGTCAGCTTTATATTTAAGGTGCTGTATCACCTCTCTTAAGTATGTTGACCTTTCACGAGGCTTTGAAAGGCCTCTTTTTTGCTTTTAGTGTAGGGCTGAAGTCTCCTTTAAAAATAGGGATGGCTGTTTGCAAAAGAAAAGTTTACAGAAGAAGGCTGAAATGATAATAGTCTAATTTTTAAACAATGCCAGTGTTTTTCCATTTAGCTAAAGGAATCAGAGAAGTATGTTGATTTTGAGGAATCATGTCTTTTTTGGGTAACTTTCAGTGGTTCTTACCCTGTTTCTCCATAGTATAGTTACTTGTACACAGTGGATATTTAAGAAGTCTGTACTGACTGATCCTTAATTATAAAATAAGCAGTTCTCTGAAATGCCCTTTCCTCTGCCTGTTTGCTTGGTGAATTTCTTTCATGATCCAGTTCAAATATCACCACTGAAATTACCCCCACTCTTACAGGAAATGAACAGGCCTCTGTCCCTAGAGTAGTTGGTAAGTATTTTCTAGTGCGCTGACATCGTTTCCTTGTGTATCTCTTTCTCATCCTCGCCTTTTCTCTACCAAGGAGCAGGGACTTTGGTTTATTCATCTTAGTGTCTCCAGTGCCTTGCATGTGCCTGCCATGTATGTGCGGTGCTCCAGAATTGTCTAGCAAATGAGGTGGCAGCAAGAAAACTCATTCTACAAGCATGCTGTAGGCTTAGATGGGAAAACTCTGCCCTCTAAAGGATTTTGCCTCTTTAGAATTTTTCTGCAGTCAAGATACTGCTGCTAGGTGAATGATTAATCTATTAATCAATGATTAATTGATTATGGCCCCATGATCTAACCTGTAGATGTAATTAACTTAGAGAAAAGTTAGCCTTTTTTCCTACACCAGCTTCTTTTAAATTAAGCATAACACATAGGTGATACTCAATAGATATTTGTTAAGGTACAGATGTCCACCAAGATGTTAACCATGACCATTATTTGGGGGGTGGTATTTTTGTTTTTTAACTTTTTTCTTTGGATAGAATTTTTTCATTATTTGAATTTTCCAGTTCAGGATACATATATATTACAAACAAAATATTGTCCATTTTTAAAAGATATGGTACATGACAGAGACAATTAAGAGAAATAAGTGCTTTTGTATAATTTGGAACCAGTCAGGTGGGCATGGTGGGCCAGTCCATTCTTTGGTAACAAATCTCAGTGGCATAGGAAAGCAAGTATTTATTTGCTACAGGTGGATGGGGGTTCTACTGCATCCAGTGTCTCAGATCCAAGCCTTTTCCATCTCAAAGTGGCTTCTGAAGTTACTGCAGCCAGAGGAGGGAGACGGAAGAGACCTGCCAGCTCTCACCTGCCTTGGCACATGTCACTTTGCCATGGCCAAAATTAGTCCTGTGAGTGGCCTCAAGCTGACTGCAAAGTAGAATGGAAAATGCAGAGGAGCACCAATAGTCTCTGCTAACATGACTGTAACTCTTTCATTTTCCAGTTACTGTGATGAATGTATGTTGGATCCAGACTGCGGTTTCTGCTACAAAATGAACAAATCAACCGTCATTGACTCTTCTTGTGTTCCAGTTAATAAAGCATCTACAAATGCGGCAGCCTGGGGCAGGTATGTCACTCATTACACACCATAAGAATATACAATCAAATTTCAGAATGACACTTAATTTTAAACTTACAGAGTGACTGCACTTGAAGTCCATGACTACACTTCTTTTAAACTGGTCTTCATAACGACATTATTTTGCAGCATATACTGATGAAAGTAGGTACAAAACATTGCAGCTGTATGTTTCGTAAACTTAGAGTAGAAAGCACTTAAGCCTAGACTTCAGGAAATCCAGATTCCAGACCCACCTCTGCCCTAAGCTATAGGAATTTGGATCTTGAGGCTGGTGTTCCTAAATATTGCCAAGGCAATTTCTCCTGCTGTGTATTGTTTAACTATACCAGTAATTTCCAAAGTCCCAAACTTAAGTGAAAGACAGAAAATTGTCAAGTCAGAATTAATTAATCTCATTTTAAATTCTTTGATGGAACTATTGTTTTGTTAAAATACTTTCCTGGAGTTTAATGAAGTTAAGCAAAATAAGGATAAAAGTTGGTAATCACTGGCATGTCATTAATCTGGGACACTGTAAACCTTTCTCTTTTTGAGAGAACACTTTGGTTAGTAGTAGGCTCATAAATGAAATATTTGTATAGAACAAATAATTCCCCACATTTATGAACTAATATTCGTATCCATGGACATAGAAAACATGCAAATATTATTTGACACGACTTAAACCTCTTTTGTGTTTTAAATTCCCATAAAAGGAATAATGTGCTCTCATCCTGTCTGCCTCATAGTACTGATGAAGGCAATGAAATCTGTAATAAAGCACTTGTATCTCCTATCCGGAGCTATAAGGATAATATATCATCATTAATCATTATGCTGTTGTCATTAATTATTTTATTAGAGAATTACTCCAAGGAAGTAGAATAAATCATATGGTAGTTGAGTGAAAACCCAGACCACATTTTAAATACACTAATTACAAAGAAATATGTAAAAGAAATGCAATTATTACTTAAAATGAAAAGTTGAAAGAGCTTCTTCTAAAAACACCCAGTGTGTAATTTTCATCAGTCAAGCTTCAAGAGGGAGTAATTGATTAAATATTTCTGGATGTAATAATTTACAGTTTTAACCCTTACGATTCTTTTTTCAGTAGAAAAAACTGAAAGTTACTAGTCTAGAATCATGAATATGTTATGAAATCTGTGTATGTAGTTTCCTTTATTTCACAGAATGACCTTATAAACTTATTAAAAATACCTGCTAATGGTAAGGGGACACTAAAATCAGACATTTCTCTCAGCCTCAGTAGGACGTCTAGAGGTCAGAGGCCTCAAAATAGGAGTTTTGTTCTTTTTGCAAGTAACAAATTATACAACTTTTTAATAGAAATGTATATTACTTCTTTTATTTCAACTTAAATCGTATATTTTATTTATATTTTTATACCATTATTCCTTGACTGCACACACTGCTACAGAAAAGTGAGGCACAGATAATACCTAAGTAGAAAAAATACAAAGAACTAAACAAAATAGACAAAGAACTTTTATATTTGTAGAATATCCTCAGATAATCTCAAACTCTTTACCCAAAAAAAACAGGCTTCCTCACTCTTCTCTGTGCAGAGCAGCAGCCCTCACCCCAGCTTGGCCACTGCGGTTGGGTGCCTCAATCTGTGATAGAAAGAAAGCAAAAAAGACAGGATATGTTTACCATGAAAAAGTCCTACAACAGATTTTCCATTTGTAGGGAAAATAGCATTCACTGTATTTTTGTTTGTTGGTTGATTGATAGGTTTTATACGATTACCTGGAATGGAATTCTCAGGGCAAAATCTACCATTACTTGGATTCACATCTGAGATATACTATTTATAGATATTTCAGGGGCCAGTATTGAGGCAGTTCATAGCCATATATCCTGATCTCTAACTGTAGCTATTTCCTGAAGGGACACGGGGTGGAATGGTAATACCATTCATGGTGGACATCATATGATGATTTTGATGAACTCTGAATTGTCTCAACTAAGGAAAACCGTTTGTATAATCAACCATAATTTATTGGAAACAAAACTTTGAGTCAATCAGCATGCTTTTCTATATGTTGGTAAATTTCAATAAAAAATATTTTTAAAAAATCATTTACTTTTCCAAAGAAGATCTATCTACAAATGGCCAGTAAGCACATGAAAAACTGCTCTATGTCAGTAATCACTAGGGAAATGCAAATCAAAACTACAATGAGATACCACTTCATACCCATTAGGATGGCTGCTATCAAAAAAACAATTGTTGTGGAGGATGTGGATAAACTGGAAACAATGTGCACTGTTGATAGGAATGTAAAGTGATGCAGCCACTATGGAAAACAGTACAATGGTTTCACAAAATTTTAAAAAAGAATACATATCATCTAACAATTACATTTTTGGTATATCCAAAAGAATTGAAAACAACATCTTGAAGAGGCATTTGAAACCCATGTTCGTAGCAACATTATTCACAATAGCCAAAAGATGCAAGCGAGCCAAGTATCAATTGACAAATGGGTGGATAAACAAAATATGGTGTATACATACAATGATGGATTATTCAGACTTAAAGGAAAGAAATTCTGGCACATACTACAGCATGGATAAACCTTGAAGACGTAATGTTAAGTGAAATGAGCCAGTCACAAAAAGACAAATGTCGTGTGAGTCCACTAATATGAGATACCTAGAGCAGTCATATTACAGAGACAGAAAGAAGAGTGTTGGTTGCCACGGGTCGGGGGAAAGGGCGAAAAGGGAGTTGTTGTTTAACGGATATGGAGTTTCAGTTTTGCAAAATGAAACTAGTTTTGAAGATTGTTTGCACAACAGTGTGAATATATTTGACACTACTGAACTGTACAATTAAAAATGGTTAACATTTAAAGTGGTTAAGATGGTAAATTTTATGTTATGTGTATTTTACCACAATTAAAAATAAAAAAGGAAAGCCCATTTAAAAATCATTTAGCATACTTCTAGAAAATACCGTGCACCGAGCTGAGGGAAAACCTTCTCCTCCTGCCCATCACCCCCTGCCCCTCCCACATGCATCCCACACACGTGCAAACACTGGTTTAATGCACAGCTGAACTGGAGAGAAATCCCCAGCTGCCACAAATGAGAGGGAGAGCAGCAAGCCCATATGGAGACCCAACAGCCCATGGGAATATCAGAAGCGAAGCAGGGCTTCAGGGTGAGAGGTTAGTGTTTTAGTTGCTGAGGGAGATAAAGCTCCCCGCCTTGCCTCTAGAACTGTGAAGTGCTATTTAGGCTCTGAAATAGGGGCAAGAAAAACTGGGCTGGGCTGGGCAAGCTGCCGACTTCTGCTGCCCACTTGGGGCCCTGAATAGAAGCAGTGTCACACGTGAGAAAGCAGAACCAGGAGCCTTCACTATGGGGAAACACACTGCCTTTGTGAAGCGTGAACGTGTTGAAAAACATGAACACTGAAAAAAAGTGGGTCCCAAACTGGAGATATCCACAGAGCCACCTCAAACATAAACATGCCGTTGTCAGAACCCAGGACACATGAGACTTGCTTGGAAAGCAACTCAGTAAATATGAGATGACAGTCAAAAATTACAAACTACATCAATTAATGAAGGAAAGAAAGCCACCAAGTATGACAAATGGAAAAATGAATACCTAAAGAACCTTGTATTACAAATAAAATTTTGAAAGAGATTTTTAAATAATATGTGTAAAAGAAATAAAGAAGGTAGTATAATTGTTTCAATTATACTGAAAGCTGTACACTTATGAGTTGTGCATTGTATGTGTATATGTGTATGTAAGTATCTGTACATGTATATACCTAAGTATATACTTAAGTAGATTAAAAAAAAAACCTTGGAAAACTAAAATAACATAAAATAAAAGATAAATAACATAGAAGGTGGTATGGGAACTTCTAGAAAAAAGCCGTCTATATTCCTTTGTTTGTTTTCAGAAACAAATGGAGACTATAATTATTTTTGAAACTTGCTAAATATACATGTTAAAAATATGAGTGTCATTTCTTAAAAATATGTACTAATAGAGGGGGAAAAAACCAAGAGAATCAATCAAACGAATAAAACAGGAAAAGAGGGAATTTATAGGGGGAAAAAAACATGGTTAGGAGGAATCACCAAAAAACCCAGCAAAATTAAGTATAAATATACGCTTGTTATTATAGTAAAGATAAACCAATTAAACATACCTATTAAAGACAAAGATCCTCAAACTGGATTTTTTTTAATGCAGTTGTATGCTATTTACGAGAGACAATCATAGAAAGGTTGGAAATAAAGGAGTGAAAAAAATTAGGTAAGTGCTAAATCAAGAAGACAAAAAAAATAACAGATTAGAGAATTGGGAAAACTTAATAACAAGCTTGATGTAAGAGTTAAATAATCAACCTAACACATAGAGAATTTCATTCTTTTCAGGCAAACATAGAGCACTTATGACAATTTACCATATTCAAGAACAATAAATTCAAGAAATTTTTTTTTTTTAAGATTTTATTTTTTTCCTTTTTTCTCCCCAAAGCCCCCTGGTACATAGTTGTATATTCTTCGTTGTGGGTCCTTCTAGTTGTGGCATGTGGGACGCTGCCTCAGCGTGGTTTGATGAGCAGTGCCATGTCTGTGCCCAGGATTCGAACCAATGAAACACTGGGCCGCCTGCAGCGGAGCGCACGAACTTAACCACTCGGCCATGGGGCCAGCCTCAAATTCAATAAATTTTTATAAATGTACATATATTTCAGTAAATTTTAAGTAAACCTAGATAACCAATATTACGCAAAACATATTTTCTAACCAAAATGCAATAACACTGCAAGCAATAGAAAGATATTTATCACCACTTCTACTTTAGTTTGGGAGGTTAAAAAAATACTTCAAATTAATTGAAGGGGGAAGAAGAAATCTTAATGGAAAATAGGACATTAAAATTAACAACTGAAAAGATCCACAGGAAGTTAGAACTAGAACACAGAGTTAGCCTGTAGAGTGAGCAGACGATGGAAATTAAAAGATAAGAGAAAAAAAATAAGGCAAAGCAAAGAAATACTAAAGGATCAAAAAACAAAAGTAAGTTGTTTCTTAGAGATCAACGTAATGGAGAAACCTCTGGTAATACTGGTCAAGAAGAGAAAGAAGGCACAGATAAACAGTATTTAGAATGACAAAAGGGCACATAACAGATAGTAAAGATTTTAAACCTCATAAGAGAATACTACGAATAAAATTGTCCAATGCATTTGAAAACAGGTAAAACAGACAGTTTTCTAGAAAAAATATAATTTTTCAAAACCAATTGGACACCTCTGTGAAGTGAGATTTTTATTCCCATTAGACAGAAGAACAGTGATGCTTAGAGGGTCTGAATGACTTTCTCGAAGTTAAAAAGCTAGTAAGTCCACCACTTTTAGGGGAACGACATTTGGGTAGTGGAAAGATGCACATTTTAGAGTCAGACAGTTTCAAATTTGAGCTTTTATCATTTACCTCATAAGTGGCCCTTGGACAGGCTGGGCCTCTCTGAGTAAAATGGGAGTCATATAATTGCTGTTTAACAGTCTGGTTTTTATGAAGATTAAATAAGGGTCTATCTGAAGACACTTGTAAAAATAGAATGCCCTGTGCAAATGTAAGTAGTAATATCTTTTACTAATTTTTATTTTTTTCTTAGATTTGTCAGTAACACATTTTCTAGATTAGAATAAGCACTTCCTAACAGATAAGTGCATTAGGATACTTTCTTTTTATTTATCTGTGTCTGTGCATCCACCTCCATATCTCCTGGCTCTCTCTACATACGAAGCCATGAATAATCTATTCTGGAACTTTAAACACCCTGACTCTTGAAAAGTATTGCTAATGAGGCATACTTTCTTAATGTGCTGATTCAGTATTTGTTTCCTATAATACATCATTTTCGGCCTGTAATTATACACACTAAAATAGCTAGATAAATTCCCTATTTGGCAATTCATTGTTCTAACTCGCACTGAATGCCTGGTTTATTGTGTTCATTCAGCAGAGAAGTTTTTCTGAAAGCTGCACTCTGATACAACAACCAGCCTTTTTTCCCCGCATCCCACCCCTCTCCCACACGGAATTCTAGTCCATCTAAACCCCTTATGAGAAATATCCAATATCCATTATGATTTCCTACCTGTATGCCTTTCCACAGGCTGTCCTTTCTGCCTAGAATTTACCCTCCTTCTCCCTCTTTTTGATCTCTGCCTGACTTTTAACCCTTATTTTTTGCCCAGATCAGGTGTCACTTTTTCCTTACAGTCTCTGGTTGGCCCCAGAACACAATGCTGATTATATCCCCTACTGTCCTCTAGCGCTTCCTTATATAATTTATATGATAATTATACTGTCTTACATGATAGTAATTTGGGTTTGGATGTATCTTCTCTTCTGGATTATAAATTCCAGTGTCTGTATCCTGCACTATTTTTAATCCCTTGATGCCTTGTACATATCAAGCATTCAATCAATAATTGTTTAATGAGAAATGGAAAAGGCTGCCATCAGTGGAAAATTTATATATAAGAGTTTTGAAAGTACCACAGTTCCAAATGAGAGTATGTGGTGTTCCTATCATTTCATTTTAGTTTTATCTCCTGCATTCATACTTATTTCCAGGAAAGGAAACCTCTAAAAGAAAAATGAGAGTGATAACGGTTTTAATTAACAATGTTAAATGTTTACTTGGTACTGATTAAAACACTGAAAAAGTTTAAAGAATGAAACTTAACCATGTACTTTAAGAATGCATACTACATATTGCTTGTAGTCATACTACATGAAAAATACTTTTTAAAAATTATTGAAAGGAATATTCAGCACATTTCCTCAGAACATTCACTGGGATATCAGGGAAGCAATATATCTGTAGTGACAGTGTGAGGTGTATTATTAAATTAGGCCAAATAGCAAAAACAGGAATTTTCCTTCATCACCTCTCTTTTTTTAATTTAATTTTTACAGATATGTATCAGTTGGCGTTCAGAAAAAGAAATTTATCATTAACAAACTATATCAGTGTCTTAATGTATTCATATACAGGATTGCTGTTGTTATCAGTTATTTATATTGGGGATTTAAAATAAAGTATAGTTTAAAATTAATTTTCCCAGCATACATTTTATATAGAGAGAGAAGTAGAGAGAGAATCTAATATAAAATATTTTAATCCATTTTGCTTTTTGAACTAAAGTTTTCTTTGTGTTTTTGCTGGAATAGAAGTCATTATGCTAGATTACCCCCTTTAAGATCTGTAGCTGTGTGCTTTGCATTTGTAAGTTTCATCTGTACATAAATAATTTCAGAGACCACATCCCGCTGGGGTCTTCTTTTTTCACGTGCAGAAACTTAGACTTTCTTGGATTTGGAGATTGTCTCTTGTGAAATCTGATGCTATTTATGATGCAAAGTATACAAATAAGAAAAGCAAAGTATTTATGAATAATTTATCTGCCTCCTCCATGTTCATTTGTCCAGTTTCTTAGCTGACATTTAATTATAATAATAAACACATTTTAACAGTTTTATCCAAGTAGTAACACTCACAATACATTTGACTACCCTTCATTTTAGGCCAAAACCTTACATTTTTAGTTAGTCCCTTTTACATTTTTTAAACTATTCTTCAGTTCATACTTCATCTGAAAAGTAGTCTGTGAGTTATTTCTCACTAAAGAACACTGTAAGACTTTTAGTATAATGATAAAGGCTGAGACTAGAATTGCATGTGTTTGATGAATATCAGATAACAATGGCGAGTCTTGGTTCATCAAATATTGCTGCAACTTAGCAACGAGGATCTGGTACTGCAGAGCTGAAGTCTGGGGAGCTTGGGATTTGTCAAAGAGGGGACATAGGGAGCAATAGGGACAAGAGGAAGGAAAATGCAAGACTGGAGTTGATCCTGGAAATGTGAGTTTGGATCAGAGTGTCAGAGAGCCTTATTTAGGAATTTAATTTGATTTTTATAGGTACATTTTCATAGGTGTGGAAATCATACTGGCAAAGATTTTAGGTGAATGACTTTATGTGATACCCAGATGTGAATATGACATAGTGAGATATAGTTCTCTTCCAGATATACTAAATATATTAAGGAGAAAATTGGTTGGCACTATCAGGATTTTAACAGTTGGCAGGAAACATTATCTAACTAGAAATTGATAATGTGTTTTCATTCCATTTTTATTATAACTATCTTCTGTTCTTGGCAACTGTGGTTGGTTGTATTATTGTTCAAATTATCTGCTGCACTCGCTGGGGAAAGATTAGATTTCCCTCGCCCATTCAGTCCTGTTCACATGACTTGCTCTGGCCAAGGAAATGAGTGTGGAACCAAGCTGTGTCACTTCCGAGCTGAAACTTTAAGAGCAAGGATTTGCCGTGTCCTCTTTTCCCTTTGGAGTAAAGTTGGCAATGTCCCAGAATAGATGTTCCTTTAGCTATGGTCACAGAGTACAGAAATGTGGAGCAGACCCACCAGTGACCTCAGATGGACCTGTAATGTGAGCAAGAAACTAACTCAGTTTGTGGACTGGGATTTGGGGCTCTGTTGTTACCTCTGCATAACCTGTTCTCTTCTGACTGGTAAAGCAAGATGAACTGTATTCCACTGTGGAAATGGCAGAAAAATTTTTAATTTAAGTTATAAAAGGAAGCTCATTTTTTTCAAACTATTAAACAAATAATAGTACAAGGAGAAGAAAAATATGGTAAATAATCACAAAAGGAGTTACCAAGTGCCTTAAGTTTGGGGAACACTGCTCTAGGTGGTAGGGAGCTGTTAAGGCTTTTAAGTCGGGGCTAACGTGAATGGTTTTGGGTTTAGAAGTTAAAATTCTGATAGAAAAAGGAAGAATTTTTAAAAGAACAGGTAGATGGTAAGGCAGGGCATTTGAAATTTATTAATATAAGGGATGTGGAGGGGTACCATCTGCATTTTAAAATATATTTGTATGTATTTAAATTTATATTTAAAAATTAATATTTAAAAAATGATATAAACTATTATGTTATATAAATACATTATTATATTATAATTAAAATTATAAAATATATATTTTTTAATACAGACACATAAAAGGAAGATTATCATCTTGCTATGATACAGAAAGAAGAACAGCGTTGGAAATCCAAATACTCTCAGAAAGTTTCTTGCTAGGGGCCAGCCCGGTGGCACAGGGGTTAAGTTTGTACGTGCTGCTTCTGCTGCCCGGGGTTCACCGGTTTGGATCCTGGGTGCGGACATGGCACCGCTTGGCAAAAGCCATGCTGTGGCATGCGTCCCACATATAAAGTAGAGGAATATGGGCATGGATGTTAGCTCAGGGCTAGTCTTCCTCAGCAAAAAGAGGAGGATTGGCAGCAGATGTTAGCTCAGGGCTAATCTTCCTCCAAAAAAAAAAAGTTTCTCGCTAGACTGCATGTGTGAACTAAACCCAGTTTTTCAGATT